CCCCCCCCCGCCACATTGTCCTACTACTGTTTCCGTGTAGCGCATCTGGCCAAAGCAAACAGCACTCCTGAGCCAGCTCTCCGGCAAGCAGCTGCAACACTAAGTTGGCCGGCTGTTGCAGGAAGCCTCCTCCCGTCCCCCCGGGGCCTGCTCACCCTTGAGCTCTTCTGAAGAGGTAGAAATGAAGCCTGACCTTCTCATTAGCGCTTGCACAGGCCCTGACCTTATTTTTGGGAAGAACTAGACCTCCTGCCGCCTGGTAGCCTTTTTATTGTCTTTATGCATCTCCCACATGTTGGGTGCCTGGGTATGGGGACTAACATCTCTTTTGAGGACAGGGAGAGTGTATTGTGAACACAGGATGTTAGGAGCTAACTGAGGTAGTTATGGAGGTTTCGTATTATTCTTTGTCAATGTCTCAAGTCTGAGTGTGAAGTCTGGGCACGGAAGAGGATCTCAGTTGTAGGACTAATAAGAAGGAAAATGGGAAGGACAAAGAGAGAAAGAGAAGAGAATGGAGGGAGGGACAAAGGGAAGGATTTTTGAGTACCTTTTATCACTTAGAGAATATGCTAAGGGTCCTACATGTGTTTTCTCCTTTAAACCCTGTAAGGCCTGAAGTTTTTATTATTCTTGTTCTATACATAAAACATCAAGGCCTCAAAGAGGAGGGTTCAATGTCACTCCCATGGTAAAAAAGAAAGACGAAAAACCCAGGACTTCCAACTCCAAGACCAGAAAGTTTACATAAAGTGGCTGCTGTTGTCCAGGAACTGTGACACTGTCTCTAGAATTCACATTTTTCACCTGGAATAAGCCATCTACACGCAAAGTATCCTCCTTCTGGTTCAATAATCTGGCATATGCATGCTTCAGCTAACAATGGCAGCTCCTGCCCTTGGTGTTCCTAAGGGCTACTTGGTGGTGGTAATGGTGGCACCGGTGGCCTGTGGAAGTGGCAGATGTGGCTCGAGCAGTGGTGGTATTGGTGGTGGTAGAAGTGATGGTGGTTGTAGTGGTGGATGGGAGGGGATGGTGGCCATGGTGGTAGTGTAGAGGCATTTGTGACCGTACCAGTGGCTTGCTCTTGTTACTGGTACCAATAACAAGACAGAGTTGGCTATCGGCATCTCAGAAATACTCCTTCGCATCCCACTCTTCACCTTCTGATCTGATTTTGGAAAGAAAAAAAAAAAAGGACTGAACCTTTGTTGTTGTAGCAACATCTGTAAGATGATCTGACAGCCTTTTATTTATTTGTTTTTGAAAGGATGTAAGGGAAACAGCTTCCCTTATTCAAACAAAACACAGCGTCCCCAAGGTTTTCAAACTGGAAGCTGACTCTCCAGGTGGAGAGATGGCAACTGACCAGACTGCACTGATGTCTCCCCTGAGTGTCCTCTTTCTCCTCGCTCTGCTTTCCCTCTGACTCTGGCATCCACCATCGTGTCAGCCTTGGCGTCACGGTTTGTCCTTCAAAGCTCCGGCCCAGTTGTAGTCAGCCATCTCTCCCTCGGTTCCCCTTGTCCCATCAGAGCCTGGGATTGGAGAGGAAAGGGGTGGAGGTAGGGCCAAAGAAAGAAACCCAAAAGAAAAGAAAACACAGGAAGTTTAGGCAGCACCCGAGTGACAAAGCTGTCCCCTCTGAGCCTTCGCAGCTAACTCATTCCCAGGGCTGGCCACCCCTGTCACATCTCTACATGCTGGACGTGGAGGAGACACCTTCCAGGAGCCATGCCACCTGGAGTGCCTGACTTAGCTCCCTGTGGAAGGGGTTACAGCACATCCACCCCTTATTCCTCTGTGTGTTCATGGAGCCCAAGCACAGATCACCCCTCCCAGCAGACCACCCAGGGCAGCAAGACTACTGCAACCTCGTAAGCAAGTGAATGTACCCTTTTATGACTGGCATGGCTCTTTGTATCAGCATCATAAATGTGGGAGACTTCCTGATGAAATTGTTGACAAGACCAGACACAACCAAGCAGCCACCAGCGTGGACCAACAGACCCTAGAAAATTGAAAAGCTCTGCCTTAGGAACCATCTTCAGCCATTTCCCTTGCTCCTTGGTGAAGCTGACATTGGAAAAATTTCAAAGGACAGCACACTTGAAGCTCAAATGAATAATCTGAACTTCCCTAAGACTGCAAATTGAGTTGCTTTCATGACAACTGAGTTTCCTTCTGAAGATGCTATGTATATTTCTTTTTTGTTGGCTATGGGTTCTGGGGTAGTCTTGGGAAATAGTGGTACTGAATGCAAAGAACCGGACCCCTCTGTTGCTGTCAGCCAAGGAGGAGTCTCATGGAACAGGAATGTTGGCCTGAGGGTATAGAAGACCTCTGACCTCCTCTGCTTCAGTCTCCTCAGCTCCACACTTGATTTTCTAGGACTCCAGCCCTGCTTATGGCCCTCACGCAGTTGGTCCCTTTGGAACAGTTTGATAAGGGATGTGAGGTTGTGGAGATAGAAGACAATACCGGAAACATTATCTACCACATTTTTTCCTTTGCCATTCAAGTAACAATTTATGCCTGATTAGTACAGACAGCAGATTTTATTTATTTTATTAGCCTCCTACCCTATTCCCATCCCAGGTTTGGAGTGGGCTGATATTTTCTTTCAAGGCTGTACTAAGAATTCCAGCCTCCCTCGTGATTCCAACCCCATTTCAGGCTGCCAGTACCTTCTTGTCAGTAACAATTGGATTGGAGGCCAGCCTCTCCCCCATGTAATCTGGGGTGGCCTTGAAGCCTAGGATGACACAGGAGGTGCAAGATAGTCTCCTCTCTCTTATCACTCCCATGTGCCCCTGAGGTCTGCAACTGTTTCTTTTTAACAGAACATCTCTGACCAAGGTTTATCACTTCCAGCCCTATAATGAGCCCTAATCTTTATACAAAAGTCAAACTGCTTTCACGCTCCATCCCTTAGCAGGTGGTTTCTCTGTATCCCTCTAAAGAGAGGGGTCCTCAGCTCTAAGGGAAGGAAGTTGAAGCCTGAGAAACCCACAGCCTGGTACTTGGAGGGTTAAGCTAGCTAGCCTAGCTTTGTAAGAAGGACCTCAACATTCCCCCATCCCAGATGGAGAATGCTAAATAACTCCCTTCAGTGAGGCAACTTGTTTGGTTATCTTGGAGTGCGGATCGGGGATAACTCATCCTGGCCGTTCTTCCGGATGTGGCCTTACTCAAAATGAGGCCTTACACGGGAGTTTTTTCCCTGGGGCTGCCTCCTCCCAGGCTGATAAAGAGTTTCATCATGGATGACTCAAGAGGTTGAGACGCAGGCTCTGGTGATAGCTAATGAGGCCTCCAGCCCCATCTGACCTCACATTTGAGCTGTTGACAGGTTCCGTCGGGCTGGCCAAATGGTCTCCCAACCAGGCCAAGACAAACGGTCTCAGGCTCTCATACCCCTCTGCCTCCAAATCCGTCTTCTGGATTGTAGTCCACCTCCAACTCTCCCTCCCCACGGATCATCTCGAGGCTGCCCCTGCTCCCACTGACAAATGAGCAGATGGGGTACATGAGAGCTTTTCTACCCTTTGTGCCCACAGTACAACCATCTTGGAGCCTGGCACAGATCTCTGGACCTCCTTACATCTTCTCAGACTCTGTCCTCCTCACTCTCCTCTCTTCAGGGCCTGAGTAGGTGGATTTGAGTCTTGGCTCAGTTTAAAAGGCATGAGGTTGGCCCCATCCTCTTAGGCAGAGAAGACTTTGAAGTAGGCAAGGAACACACACACACACACACACACACACACACACACACACGGCATGGTCAGCACATTCTCCAGCCCGAGCTGTGATGGGAAACATAGGCCAGGTTATCATCACAGCCAGCAGCGTTAAGGACCCCAACTCCTGGTGACCAGCCCATGCACTGGGCCTCCATAACAGGACAGGAAGAGCAGGACAGAAAGACAGCAAGGTGGCACTAAAGATTCCTTGTGGCTACCAGACAGGCTGGCTCGGAATACAAGGTCTGAGCCTTAAGCGTCACTTTGGAAACACTGGAGGGAACGGGAAGCGATGAGAGCATGCACAGAAGAATGCTACACCCTCTGCCCACACAGCCAGCCCAAGGGCCAGGATTCCAACCCATGTCCCGCTTGGGCTGGGTCCACTCTGGGGTCAGGGCTGAGGCTGAAAAGGTACCAGATCCCCCCATAGGAAGTCCACCAAGTTACACCCAAGGGTTCAATAATAATGGATCACACCTCCCCACACACAATGTTTCATGGTTCTCAAAATGCTCTCCACATACCATGTCTGATCCTCATCCCGCGGCTCTGCACATTTGACACTTTACCCTCCCTCCTTCACAGAGGAGAAAACACAGTCGCAAGGAGAAGGGGGACAAAAACCTTGAACTTCGGATTCTCGATCCTCTGCACCTCTCTCACAGAAGGAATCTAAGTGTGCTTGGAAACAGAGATAACACTGTCCCACACAGATGTGAAGCCTTATCGAGCCATGGAGATGAGGCAATTACAAATGAGATGAAGCTTTGGCATTCAGACCACTAGAAGAAGCCTGCTGATGATGACAAAGAAAAGGGCAGGAGGGAAATTTTAAGAGAGAGCCCCATTAGTTCTGAGCACTTCACAGCCATCCAGATGGAGCAGTCTCTCAGGCCGATGCTTAGGCGGATGATCTGGGCTCAGAACTGGCAGCTCTGGCTGTAGAAGTGGGTGGCATTGCCAGAAGGAAAGGACAATAGGAAAAGTGGGGCAAGAAGAGAAACTTTTAAAGAGTAGGAGGAGGCAAAGAGCAAGACAGATGATGGAGAAAGAGCCAACAGAGACAAGGAGTGCAAACAGGAAACGTTCCATTGGATAGAAGTGACAGAAGAAAACTTGAGGAAGATGAGCAATAGCATATTGAAACCAGCACACAGACACCAAACCACAAATGTCTAGAGAAGGAACCTCTCTAGGTTTGGTGAGTTCCTCTTGGTAGAAAGGAAAGGCATCATGCAACTTGCCTTGAGTGTGGGAGGAACTAGGTCCAAGCCTTTGTTAAATGCAAAAATAAGAGTAGGATGAAAAGAAGAGGTCCATCGACCCACATAAGAAAGGGTACTCCTAGGCCAGGCCAAACAAAAATGTTACCCACCAGCTTCTGGCTTGAAATCTTTAAGCATGGTGGGAGGGACAGTATTCTTTAGACGGACGGAAAGAAAATGCAGCACACAGGTAGGGTATGAGGGAAGAGGAAACACATTGGTAGCCCACACACTTTTTGTTTCTAAGTATAATTCCAAACCAGAATAAGAAAAATCGTGTCTGGGCCTATATTAGGAGGAAGTTGTATCTGAATTTCTTGTCTCTCAATTCAACAAAATAGTGACAATCTTTGTGCTGATTCAAAGGTCTTTGGGCCCTTCCTCTAAACATCAGATCTGAGTTACAGAAATGGTGCTCTTTCCAGGAAGGTGGGCATTCTGATAAAGTCTCCACAGTTGGCTCTCTCTGAAGGCCATTCTCTGGGTTGTATGTCCCAACCTCAGCACCAGTGTGAACATCCCTCTCCCAAATCCCTCCACTCTTTTATGCCTCCTCCAGGACACAATCGAGAGCACACACCAAGCGGAACAAAACAGTGGCAATTGATGACAAATGGACTGAGCTGCCCCTGCATCCACCTCCCCATTCTCTGTTACCATGGAGATTCCAGCCTGGCAAAGCCAGAACATCAGGAAATATCCATAAAGGATGGCCTGGTGGGTACAGGTGCTTGAGGAACCAAATGCCAACAAGATCCTTCCATCTGCTGAGCATGAGATGGAGGATGTGGGGCCAAAGAATAAAGAGACAGGCTTTGTCCTTCACTCTGGAAGTTTCAGTTCTCTGCCCTAGGAGTTACATCACCCTGATATCTGGTGACATCATCCACCAAAGCTCTCTTTTCTCAGTTTCTGTTTCTAGCTTTCTCTTCTAACTACAAACCCAGACAGCCTCTAAGATGGGCAGCCAGATACTCTACTCAAGAAGCCATGAAACAGGAAGAAGTTTCCAGAGACTTAAATCACCAGCACTTCTTTCTTCTTCAGCAACTTGGGAAAATAGACAACATGACCAAGTCATCCATGGATGTCCCCTCTCCTTTTCTTTGGGACAGGGAACATACCCTTCACAATTACCATAAGAAATAGGTATTTTCTTTCTCTTTAAAAAGGCATCTCCTTTCTCTTTAGAAAAAGTCAGAAACATAAAAGTTGGAGAAATAAAAGGACAAGGGAGACAACTTATCATGCAGTATATTCTTCACTATTTGTTTTCTGAGCAAGAAGAAGCCAATAGTCAAATATCAACTGGAATTGTACCACAGCCCAACAGTTCCAGTGGTCATAGTTTCTCTCAAACAACTGTCATCAAACATATATGGGGAAGAAGGGGATGAATACATATTCCAGCAACCTTTTTTTTTTCCTTGCAAATATATTCCTATTTAGGTGTTTTGAAACTCAGTCATTTGAATTGTTCAAAGTCTAGTTACTCAGCATGATTCGTAAACATCAACAGTAAAACCACAAAAGTTTGGGAAGGGATTTAGCCTGCTGCTCTAAGCTTCAAGTCAGTGATCAAAAAGGCCAAGATAGGATATTTACAGATGATTGCCCAAAACCTGCCAAAGCTCATTGCTTAGAGAAAGTGCTCAAAACACACTGGATTGAATATTGAAACTTTTAAAGACTTACTGTAGCAGAAATTATAGTTAAGTCTTCAGCCACCATTCTCTTTTTCTTCCATTGTGTAGCTGTCGTGGGGTTAAATGCAGATTGACTCCACTGGGTTGCAAGTTTGAGCCAATCTGCAACTGCATGTGTATCCTCCTGCTTCATTGATTGGTTCAGGCAAATGAAGTTTATGACATTCAGCACATGGCATTTCCTCATCTGACTCCTGAGGGAAACTGCTAGGGCTTGTAAGGGAGTAAGTTTTTTACTTTGTTAGAGAACTACCGAAGCTACTTCCTCATTCTTGGACAACATAGTTGGAAGATAATACACCTCGTGCACAGGCCAAAATGAAAGGAAATTGGCCTGAGAGAAAAAATGGTACCCCTAAATATAGAGCAAAGATGAAATAAAATCAGATCCCCAATAACTTTACTTTTTTTTTTCTAATACGTATATCCTTACCCTGAATTTCACTTCCTCAGTCATTTTTCTTTAGGATAAGCCAATAAACCTCTTCTTTTGTTTAAGTAAGTTAAAGAGAGAAAGAGGGAGGAAGGGAGGGAGAGGAGAGAAAGGAGCTATCTTTTTCTTGTTTTTTAAGAGCCTTAATATGTTTCTTTTTAATTAAACATTAAAGGTTCTAACCAACATATATGCCAAAACTGTCACTGATTCAACTATTTTGCCTTTTTTTTTTTTTTGTAGCAGGGATCGAACTTGGGACCTTGTGCTTGTGAGGCAGGAAATGGAACCACTGAACTAAATCCCCAGGCCCTATTTTGCTCTTGATGGATACAGAAGTGAATTCTGAAGCCCTGGAGATTTAAATGACAAACAAAAGCTCCTCTTTGGAGATAGGCGGCTAGACAGTCCGCCGAACTGCCTACCTAGCTTCTGTTGTCCAAAGTGTCTAAGCACAATCACCTCCTGAAGGTCCTTGTTGCAGAGGTGGGGTGTCAGAGAGGACAGCAATGCACACAGGCACTCTAAAAAACAGGTCCTTCTAATATGGAGCTAAAGCTAATATTTCAATGCATTTGCATTCTCTGGACATAAACTGTGGCTCACTGTAAAGGGCAGATGTCGAAGTCCCTCAACCCAGAAAATGATGAGTTTAATTTAGAAACTGATAATACAATATGTAGATAGTCCCAACACAAATTGCAAGGGAAGAGCTTTAGGCGTTATACTGGAAATAAACCGCTCGCCTTTTCACAAAAAAGAAAGCTTTCTTCCTATACCATCAGCCTGCAAGAAGGCTACTCTAACCACTCTGTTTTTTTGGAGATTGTATGGTTTACTGGCTGTATCCTACTAACGCAGCGATGAAGCCATGCATTGTGCTTTGAGCCTTCAGAAGTGCAGAGTCAAGATAGTAGGAGATCATTGAGAAATAATGATTACTTGGTTGAATGGCTTGATGGAGGGATAAATGGACGGATGGATGGACAAATGACAGGTGAAGGCTTCGCTGGAAAGAACAACAACCAATATCATGTTATCTAGTCCTAAACATCCTCCCTGCAAACGGGAAGGCTCTGTTTCTAGTCCCAAACATATTCCCCAATAACCTTTATCACTCGCCCTGGCCTCAATCTTTCTTGTCACAGGCATCTTGGTAGAAATGACAGAAGATGACCTCTAGTAGCTCGGTGTTATATGCCTCGCGTCTAAAAATGTATACCTTTTCTCTTTTCTTCTTTCTTTCTTTTCCTCCCCAAATAAGAATTTATATCTGCCTTAGATTCATTTAATTGCAAACCAAACCACGTCTACTTCCTGGCTCCTCTAGTTCTGTTGAGAGAACCACCAGTTTCCTTGGCCAAAGCTACATGTTAGGAAATCATACTCACTCCTTGCTTTTCATTTAATCCTGCAGTGCAACCTGCATGTCTTTAAAAGTTCATCTTCCAGGGGGCCTTTCACAGTACTTCTACTTTTCCATTTCTACTGCACCACTAATTTTGGGTCCTCATTAACTTCTCATTTAACCTGGACCCATCAATACTAGAAGTCAGGTTCCTTAATTCCCATTTTGCCCCCACGTCAGAAAATGGGATAGTGCTTCAATAAAACCCTGCTTTTAAAATTAAAATCTTACACAAGATGGAGAAAAGCCAGCTCATTTGGATATGGCTAGAATGGAGGAGAGGGGCAGGCAATGCATCTATGCTATAAAGACCTCTCACATCTGTTTCCTTTTGGCCATTCCCGTCATTTATCGCTCTACTACTCTACTCATCATCTGATGCTTGGACTGGTGCAATAGCCTACTGAAGGGACTGTACTTCCACAACGATCCCCCTCTGAGGATCAGGTTAATGTCTGGCTGAGTCAGGAATGCCACACCCATATCTCCTGAGAAAACTCGCAGGCCTATTAGGGCTGGAATAATCCGCCCCCTCGGGTATGTAGAGATCTGACCTTAGACAGATAAACTGTTCCTCTCAAAAACCTCTAAAGTCCTGACTCCATTTACCTCAGTTCCTAAAGCGTACAATCCAAAAACTAAGGTGTGGCCAATAAGGATGTGCCAAATATCCCGACTCCACTCTGGCTCCACCCGGGCCTTACCCTATCCAATAGAAATCCGACAGCACCACCCTGGCTCCACCCCCACCTTACCCTATATAAGTATGTACATCTCCTCAAAAAAATGGAAGCATTCCAGAAACCTCCCCGGAGTCTACGTGGTGATTCTGTGCCTTGCACTCCCAGTACGGGTCCCTGGACCTTGTTCCGTGAGCAGGCTCACGGATGAAAACAACACCCCTCCTATCCATTCGCTTACAACTGTGTTGTTGAAAAGTATAAATATGGCCATATAATTCCTTAGTTTAAAACTTGCAATGGTTCCCTCTCTTTTGGCCTAGAAATAAAACCCAAATGCCTTCCTATCTGGGCCTTGCCCTTTACAGTGGCTTCTTATTCAACTATCCCCCACCACCCTGGGGCATTCTTTTGAAAATTGGCCCAGTTGCCCACCCCTCCTCAAGGGGCTTCAGAGCTGATCATGTTTTAATGTGGACCTGCCTTGTGGCTGGGCTCGATTCTGAGTAAGCATTGGACCCCTACCAGGTCAGTAATGTTCCTCACCTGGCGCACTGTGCATTTTCAACTCAGGAGTGGTTCCCATCTTTACTGTCCACCATTCTACACCGGAGCCTGCGGAAACAGCAAACACGGAGAAGTGAGAAGAAGAGCCAGAGAGAGAGGCCTGATGACATGAGTCTGTGGTCCTAGTTGTTTCTGAAACTAAGCTACATTCTTCCCTCCCCAGGTGCATCACTGATCCATGCTCCTTTGGGCCCCGAGAGATACCTCAGTATTCTTTCTTTCCAGTTCTCCTTTTGTTCACACTTAATCAGAGCTGTGTGTCTGTATCTGTCTCCAAGGGTCCTAACTATGCACCCACTATTACCATGTCAGCTCCCTCAGGCCGGATCTGTGTCTTAATGATCATTGTTACCCTGATTGCCTACCTCATGGCTGGCGCTCAAAGTTTATTGAATGAAAAATGGATTTGCTACCAGATATAACTTTCTAGTGATCTCTTTTGGCCGCCTTCCTAACTCAGAACCGAAGAGAATCTGCACAGCAGTTTGATTGCAGAGATGTTCAGAGCTTTGCCTCTGCCTCCAGAAGCGGCAGCAACCTCCTTTCAGAAGAAGTTAACGGTATCACAGCGACAGCACCAGACGCTTAGAAATGCTTACGACAGATGTTCCCATGCAGGCTCCCATTTGGTCCTCCCAGCCATCAGATGGCCCCATTGCCATTCTTATATCCGTCTCCCTTTTTACAGAAAAGTATACTGAGGCTTGGAGAGACAAAGCAATGGGTCCAAGGTTGGTCACGTGGTGATGCTACAGGTGTGCTTGGCTCCAAGTCCAGTGCTCTTCAGCTTCGGTTCTGTGGCCTTCACATCAGGCTTTCTGAGCTGCCTGGGTGTTTTTAGATCGAAGTCCCAGAATGTGAGTGTAGATGTAAATCCTCTATCCCTTTGCCTCTGGTCACTTTGGCCAGGCAGGCCAGAAATAAAATCACCCAAGCACCTGTAGAGGTGGCAGCTGTTCCTGGTCCATGTTCGACTCAGGCCGGACAGCCTTTACTGCCAGCAAAGTGGACCTGCCAGGGGTGGGAGGGTGGAAAAATCACTCTTAGAAGATCAAGAGAATTAGCAGTGGGGAACACAATGCCCTCCTCCCGAGCTGGACACAGACCCGCCCCCCACCCACAGAAAGGCCACGGAAGAGCTGTGTCCCTGGGAGGCAGGAGCAGCCAGCGAAGGGCCCTAGGGAATGGCTAACAAAGAGTTAAGGCTGCAGCTGCCAGCGCATGCAGTGTGGAGTTATGCTGGACTGTTCCCACTGGCGACCAAGTCAGCTGTCATCAGAGAACAAAGAATCCCCCAGAGCCGCTCAAGTTGTGTCACACCCGGGAAGCCCTGAGAGCGCCCTGATTAGGATTTCTAAATCAGCCCCATCGAGGCCTGAAGAATAAAGCGGAGGAACAATGAACCCGCCACATTCACACAGTCAGCAGTCCCGGCCGGCTGCCGCCTCCCCACCACCACCGCCCCCTCCCACGGGGCCTCGCAGGCCACTTCACCTCCCTCAGGGACAATCACATCTCCCCGAAAGCCCCCAGCCCGTGGCAGCAGTGTCCAGAGAGCGCAGGAGTCAGAACGCCGTGGGGAAATCTGCCTCCTGGGGCTCTGTCCTTGGGGGGCGGGGCGGAATAAAAAGGGACCCAATCGGAGGGTGGCAGGGGTGGGCTGCAGACACACACGAGGCCACCCTTGGGATCTGACGGGTCTGACGGTTTCATTCCAACCAAGTGCACGCTGAGGTTTCAGCTGGACACCCTCCCCCCGCCCTCCCTCCAGATCCTACGCTGACCCCCAGCCCCAGTCCCGAGGATGCCCCTTGGGAGGAGCTGAAGCCACACCGTGGCCAGAAATCTTGTAGCATTCGCAAAGCTGGAGGGGTCAGACAGGCTCCACATTCCCAGTCTAGTCTACTGCAAGATGGAGCACATTGCAGGCCGATCTGAGGACACCCCACATGCTGAGTTGGACTTCCTGTCCCCGCCAGGATATACTTACATCCTTGCAAAGCGGAGGGTGGCTGTGCTCATTTGTTCTACAAATGCTTACAAAATACCAATGTGTGGCAGCCTCGAGTTTGCCAGTGTTTTTACTCTACTAGGATCCCCAAGAAAAGTGCAGGTAGAACTTCTCAGTTTGGAGGGCTTCCGGTTTCCATTCCAACTTAAACATTTTCCTTTTCTTTCTACCAGTCACTAAAGCCATTGCCTAGGACAGTGTCCCAGCTCAAGTGAAGGGGGATCCTCAAAGAAAGCTTTAGGACACGTGAGGTCAGGGCGATTCTCTAGCTGCCCTCAAGGGATGTTGGCTGCTCCCTCCTCTGTGAGGCAGGGTCAGCTTTGTAATCTGTGGCTTACTTCACTGAGAAGTGACAGCATTCCTAGTCCTTACCTGCAGCCAGGGCTCTGTGTACTGACATGGGAAGCATCTTCTGTATTATGCTTTCCGTCAGGCCTTTCAGCAACTGGCACCATGAGCATTATATATCTGCGATGCGCCCCTGTCTGCAGGTCCCTGCAAAGTTTCTCTGAAGGAGAATGTGGGGAACAGTATGGCCTGGACTCCTCTACCGTCTCCTCCAGCCCCTGCTCCAAAACCTAAAAGCCAGCAGGGAAAAAGCCACAGTCTCAGACCATGTCTGGGTTTCTGGCTTCCCGGGGTTTGAGTTATGATTTTTCAAGCTTATGATACTGTAAAAGTATCTCCATGCCACCATTCTGTTTCTCGTGTCAATATAGTTTTCAGTACATTACGTGAGCTAATCAATACTTTCTGAGTTTGTTTTAGCTGAGTTTGCCCCAGCACTAGGTCATATGTGTTCTGAGCACATTTAAGGTAGTCTGGGCTAAACTAGGCTGTTTGGTAGATGGAGTGAACGAAATGCATTTGAAATGCATTTTTTAACCTGTGATATATTCAGCTTACAATGGGTTTATCAAACATAACTCCATTGTAAAATGAGGAGCACCTATAATTCAAATGGCTACTTTTCAGCTATAGAAATTCTTTAAGGGAGCTGAGGGTACTCACCAAGTAAGCAGGCCAAATGCACCAACAATGCAATAGTTCCCCTAGTAGTACCCTCCTGAGATATAGGAGATAGAGTTATCCGTCAGAGTCCACATTCAGTAAAGACTCTGGGGTTGGTAATACCTGCCAATTATGAGGTCCATCTTATGGATTAAGCATTGCTTACCATTTAGACTCGTAATGCTGAATCCTCATAGCCCAATTTCATAAATGGCAAAAAATAAGGCTCGTATATCTTCTAAGGCCACATAAGTTGTAAACAAAAAAATATTAGCAGAGTCAAGATCTGAACCCAAGTCCACTTGCTCCTACAGCTCTTGATGATGAAGTTTTCTGGATCCCTTCTACTTGACTGCATTTGGAATCTAAACTAAAAAGTCTTTAGCTTGCAAAGGATGGAACAAGATCCAACTAGCAGAAGATGCTCTGACTAAGATGGAGGGAAGGGTATAGTCTCAGAAGCTATCCCAGTCAGATCAATGGCTAGTCCATTGCTACCAATGCTGAAAGCCTAGGGCTGCGCACTTGGCCTCCCAAGCCTCAGTTTCCCCATGTGTGAAAGTCTCATAATAACACCATTTTCACTAGGACACTGTGGGGATTAGGCATAGACATCCTTGTAGAAATGTCCAGCTTGTGACACATACTCTAAAAAGCTTGTTTCTTCCCTCTTCTTACTTAGACATCAAAGCAGCGATGAACACTTTCCTCAAATCACCTGCTCTAGTGAGAAACAGAAATAATTTCATTTTTCAACTTTCCGATTTTCCTGCTTTTTGTTGGACCATCTTTGATTCCTCTTCAATCTTGATTCTTCACCTCCTTGAATCTTGGCAGGCTTGAGCAACAAGAAATGCTGCTTAACAATGACCCTGAAGGTGTGCCCTGGACAGAGGAGCCACTGCCAGAATCCGGAGAGTATGGCTGCTTTTGGTGGCGGTAGAACAGTCTCCAAGTTTCTCACCACCATTTACGGATCCAGGAAAAGGCAGGGATCCATTTGGTTAAATGACAGGAGGACTTTTTTAAGTGCAGGAACATTAATCTGACAATCTGATCACAAGAAACAATTAGTAGTAAGGACCCTCACATCCTTTGTCAGAATTCCTTCAGGTTATTAAGACTTCTAAGTCAGTCTGGGAACTGGGGGCCTCAGATGTTGGGAAGAAGCCATCGTACTCTGCTGAGAGTGGTAACCTCCTATTTCAAAATCTAGGCTTAGAGGGTGCTTAAAATGACTGGCATTAATCACTTGGGTTAATGAAGGACACAGACACCCCAGACCAAGATTTTCTATACTTCAACCTCACTCTTGCTACACATCAGAGTATCATCACATCCCATGCCCCACATTTTGTTTTAAAATGCCAGCTCTGCTTTGGAAACTAATGAAGCATTCAAACTGAAAGGCCCCCCCAAATTGTTGATGTCCCTTAGTGACTGGCAGGAAAGCATAGGTCTGTCGTGATTGGCCAGATGCTGGGGTTGCGGCACAGCCAGGGTAGAAAGGATGCATCTAGCCAGAGAGGAAGAGAGAGGAGTAGTCCCGAGGAAGACTGGATTGCTGAAACCCACCAGTGACCACGTGATGGAGAGTGGAGAATTTAAGAATTCGTGGACAAGACAATGGATGGTATACTTGAAAGAACAGGGACTTGAAAGTCAGGCAAATGGAAGTTTGAATTCCAGTCACTCACTAAGAAACCTGTTTCCTCGCCTGCAAAAAATAAGTACTTCCTTTTTCACGTGGTTGTTGTGACAATTAAATGAAATAAACAGATGCATGTGGAGCTTGCCATGAGAAAACACTCAACACCTGGTGATACTATGGACTGGACCGCAGTCGGGAGTAAGGAAGGAGCTGAAGAGCACAGTGGGTCAGCAGGTGCATGCCAAGGTTTGTGGCAGTAACCACAGCAGTGGCTGTTGAAGAGATTAGAATGCTAGATGGAAAAATCGGTCTCAAGTGACTAATGGTGACATAAAGTTGTTTCAGGAAAGAGAGGAAACATCTATTAACACAGGGGAAATAAGAAACAGATAAATCCCAGGAAGGGAAGAGCAGTCTGGATTGTCTCCCAGATGCCAGCTCAGCTGCAGGGCAGGGAGAAGTCTCACTGATAGCCACCACAGCCTGGGAGGCGGGACAGCCCCAGGGCCACTGTGCAATAGTTAACACCAGGCTTTGGTATTCTTGGCTTCCTGTCCCATGCTTTTCCCGACCTGTATTCGCAGAACCCAGTGGTTTCACACCAATCACCTTTTTTCCTGCCATAAAACATGCTCTCCAAATATTCATTTATTGACCAACACCATAGGACAGGAGACAGGTGACAACTTAAAATATATCTATATTGAGGCTGGACGTATATCTCAGTGGTATAGACTTTGCCTGGCATGCTTGAGGCCCAAGGTTCCATCGCTGCATGGAAAAAAGGAAGGAAGGAAGGAAGGAAGGAAGGAAGGAAGGAAGGAAGGAAGGAAGGAAGGAAGGATGGATTGGTTCAGCAAACATTTTGGAGCCCTTTTGTCCTGGCCACTGAGACAGTCGCTAAGAGTGGACAGAAATGTCCTGTGTCTGCCTTAGGACACAGCCTGCTGATCCTAAGTACTGAGGCGCCTCAGTGGGTTAGCCTCCAACACTGATCACCCTCGAGTCGCCTGCTTCCTGCCAGGGTGAGACGAGACCTGAGCACCGCCTCCGAGAGTCCCTCCTGTGCTCACCCCAGAAGCAGAGCGGCTCTCCCTCCTGCTCCCTCCACAGAGGGCAGACAAGGCGGGGAGAAGTGGGAAGAGCACCGGCTTGGGAAGGGGAGACCGAAGTCTCAGCTCGTTCCTTCATGTTTTCACAAAATCACATACACACACGTGTGTGTATACTCGCATGTAAACTGGAGGTGTGATAAAAAACACAGTGAGTGCTTAAATTTGAAAAATATTTATTACAGTAAAAGGCACGTTGCTATCCATCCTTCTCACTTTGAACACATACGCCATCGTTCTTGGGACTTTCTGAGCAGCTCTGGAAATCTTGTGTGTTTTTTTAGTTGTGCTATCCTGGCTGGCTTGATGTCCTCAGTTGATTCAAAGCATTTCCCTTTCGTGGTCCTTTTGACCTTGGGGAAGAGCCAGAGTCATGTGGCATCAGACTGGGTGAATAAGGACACCCATGATGTTTTCACAAGTCTGCCTTCCTGCTGGATGGCGCTCACCAGCAACATTCGCATGGCTTTGGCCACATAACTATCAGCCTCATGAAAGCACTCATGAAATGGGACTTCTGGAGCTGCTTCAGAAAGCATCAAAAATGGTGGCCTGGGATAGGTGTGTCCGAAGCAAGGGGGATTAGTTATGATGCGCTTTTACTGTGGTCACTTTTTCCCCAGTTCTGGCATTCACTGTACTTTCTGATCACCCTTTGTATATGTGGATTTGCCAGCCCATTTAATTACACGCACATGTGAATGTGCATGCACATACATGTGCATGTGATATACGAATATCACGTTTTGAAAGAGCGAAGTGAACAGAAGGAAGCACAGATTCTCAGGGAAATGA